ACATTATTGTAACGGAGCTCCCAGTGCCCATGGCTGGGTACCTCCGCTAAGGACCACTTCCTAGTTGGAACAGGGGACAAACTGCAGCACCTCTGCCCACAGTTGCCGTGGCTAGACTGGGGCCCTGGAACCGTTCCCTCCTGGAGCCGAATAGGGAACTCGCTCTATCCACCCCCAGGCACTGGATAACACTCAGTCCCGGGAGCTCTAGTTCTTACAAGGACCTTCCCTGCTGAATCCTCCACACTGGAATAGTGATTAGTGATTAGCCCTTTCCCCTCCCTGTAACCAAACGGCACATAGTTCTGGGAGTACAAGCTGGAATGTTTTAATCTGGCCAGGTGACCTGCTTTTATACAATTCTGAACACAGTTAAGCACGCCCATGACACTCCCACGCAAACAAGATAATCCCTCTCCTGTACCTGGGAGATAATTGAGTCAGGAACTGTAAAAAACTCAATTATCTCCAGGCACAAAAAACACACATTTCACAAACACCCCAAAAGTACCATAAAAATACATTAAAAAAAACCCCCTAAAAGTTACATCCCCGGATAGCCCGGATCTGGGTGACCAAGATATCCAAAAATCACCCAGATCGGTACAGGGGTTTGGGAATTTCCTGGAAGTCCTAATTTGAATGGCCACACACAAGGCTCCTGCCCAAAACAGTTCCATAAGATCCATAAGATCAGGGCTAGCGGTCGATCTAGTTTGGTAGTTTAAAACCAAACAAACTATTGAACATAGTCAATAGCCTTGTTCCCCTTGTTCGGGGGAACGTTTCCACCGAACTGTGTCCTCCTAAGAGTTGTAGAACCGAATGCTTTCTGTGTTTGTCTTCAGTTCCATGAATGCGACGACCAAACACCACTGCCTGCGTTCGTGTGAGCAAGATGGCGCCACCTCGTAGTCGTCCATAGGAAATGTGGCCACCCAGATGAACACTGCGGTGGAAATTGCTACAAAGTAGCAATTAGGCTTGACAAGCTCCCGGGTGGTCTCCAGTTTGTGCGGCGGTTCTATTCCTGAACCATGTAGTCCAAATACACGATGGAAACTTTTACAGTGCATATGGCAGGGCCCATAGACTGTGAGCAGGAGGCTGGCAAGCAGGCTCCTCCAGGAGCTCATGGCAAACTCACATGAGAAGGGGAGTTTTTCACAATTATACAAATATATTCAGGGCCAGTACAAACCATTATCTATTCATAAACAGGGCTATACATAGGACACGAGGTCACGCATTTCGGCTGGAAGAAAATAGATTTAATCTAAAGCAAATAAAAGGTTCTTTTACAGTAAGAACTATAAGGATGTGGAATACATATAGATGTTGAAACAGCAATTGGATAAATACTTGCAAAAACATAACATACAGGGATATAATTTTAATTTGTGGGGTAATAGCTGCTTGATCAAAGGAGATATCTGACTGCCATTTTGAGGTCAAGAAGGATTTTTTTCCTAGTTTATTGCAAAATTGGAAGCTCTTCAGACTAGGTTTTTTGCCTTTTTTTGGATCAACAGCCAAAACATATGTGAGAAAGGCTGAACTTGATGGACGCAAGTCTCTTTTCAGCTATGTAACTATATGTAACCTGTTGTTCCTGTAACATTTTGTCATTTATTGTTAAATTTCCCCCTTTTATAATATTGTAAAGCACTGTGGAATAACCTGGCACTATATAAATGCCAAAAATTTGTAATAATAATAAAAAAAAAGCCCACAGACTTTAATGGCTATGTTGATAGACGCAGCAGACAACACCCCAGGTGGTTTACCAGTTGTAGCTAGATGTAGAAATTGAATTAGTAGGTGAATTATTGAATTGGGGAGAATCCAAACAAGATGATACATTTGGATTTAGTTTTATAACTAATTATAACAGAGCATTTGATATCAAAAAATTACTGAAAACATGTTGGCCCATTTTACATGAGGGTGACCATTTACAACCTTTCTTACCTAAGGAATCTTCAGTAATTTGTAAGAGAGCTCTAGTTTATTTCGATCTAACATGGTTTGTAATATTAGGAGGGGAAGCAGTAGGTTTAATAGTGTGGAGGATGGAAGGGATGTCAATTCCTCTCAACTTGTGTAACCCACTTTAAAAGTCCTCATACAGGAGAACGTTTTAATATGAATTATTCCATCAGTTATGTTTCAACATTTGTAGTCTATATTTTTTCTTGCATGTGTGGCAAACGATATGTGGGAAGAACTAGTAGGAAACTCAAGGTCATGGATGGCTAAAACATCTTAATAATAGGACTAAAAATGTATGGTTCATTTTGTTCCAGTTCACTGTAATTCCTGTTATAAGATGGGTAAAAATGTTTCTTAGACTGGAAAGCCATATGGTACCTGCCTACTCAAAGAGGACACATCTATTGTGGCAGTTTTTCAGATTTGTAAGGCAGCTGTGGCTCTTTCAGAGGCAGCAAGAGATATTTTTGCCATGGCAAGAGATATTTTTGCCAGATGAGACTGGCAGTGTCACATTCCTTATATCGACTGTGAAATTTGGATTTGCAAACTTCTGAGAACCATAACATTTATAGACCTACCTTTCTTTGTACTTCTTGAATAGAAGGGTTGTCACACCCAGGGTGCATGATTCCTTATTGCTTTGTGGAATGTTGCTGTTTGAGTTGGTGGAGGTGGTGGGGCCAATTGAGTGATTGTAGAGGACGGATTTCGGAAAGGGTTGATTTGAAGTTATTTGAAGTGTGTAGAGTGTTTTCCGCTCCTTTGAGGTTGTGGCTCTGGGGCTGCTCTGCAGGGTGTTTTACACATGAGCTGCCTATAAGTCTGCTTTCAATGTAAATGACTGATTTCATATGCCTCTTTATGGTGGATTCCTTTAATGTACTGGTTACCATTGGCACTGGTACCTTTTTTCCCAGTGTCATGTTTTAAGGGGGCATTGATAGTAACCCACAGATTGGGGGTTAAGCCTCATTTTGTGCATGTTTGGAGTTGGACAGGCGCAATCTACGAGACAAGTATAGACGTGACTGGCACAGCTTGGGCCATTTGGAAGGAGTTGTGATGCCCACTGTGTTAGGTCCTGGAGGGGTTTGTGGCATGTCTGTGTAGTGGATGCAATTGTTGTTTCTCTGGTGGGGACAAGGGAGGAGGTGGGACCAAAGGTTTTTATTTGTATTGGTGTTGGTCTGGAACGCTGCGGGATGGGGATGGTCATTTATACCACCTGTGGGCCAGCTTGGTGGTATGGGAATGAATCCAGAGGGTGTGTGTCCAGTGATATGTGAAAGGCTGGTGTACTTGCTGGGGGCAAAGATTTTTCTTGCCAGAGACCACCTGGACAGAAGTGATTGAGTAATTAGGACTTCTATTAATTTCTCCTTTTTGTTTTATCTGTTGTTGGTGTAAATAATTTGTTTGTCATCTATTTTTTTGTATG